AATCCAGTGTGCCTCATTTCAGTGTCATGTTGTGCAGTCTGGGACAGAGATCCTTGCAGTGTGGTATGAGAGAGAAAAAAGCTACGTAAGGTAACACTTAGTGCAGATGTAGGAGGTGGCTCTGAAACGGAACAACAGATGGGTGTGCAAATATGTGGTGTTGGATCCTTGTGCAAAGAAGGTGATGTTGCAGACTGCTTGAAGAACCAGCACCAAAGATGTCAGCAAAAGTGGTTTAATTGAAGTAAGATGTTGTGAAAGTGAGATAAGACAAAGTTTGATAGCAAGGTTCACTCTGTTACAGCAGAGAGAGGATATAATAATGATTCAAAGTTACCAACACAAAAAATAGTGCAGTATAATACGAGGTTGTGTGTGATACAGGTCACGTACCAAAGATCTGCAGTTGGTAAGGGGTCTCTCAGCCTCAAGGAGTAACCTTGAGAGGTGTTCCAGTTCAAGGGGAGATCACCAGCATGCAGTCAGCTGCTTAGCAGAGAGAGCTCAAAGAAGGCTCACTTCAGGCTGTTGTGTTCATGGAATAAAGTGGTTGGCTTGCAGTCAAATTACATAATATGGAAAAGGTAAACATGAGACTCCTTGTACTCACAACATTCTTTGTTCCTTGATAAGTGAGTCTTGGAAGAACCACCTGCTATTCACATGTTAATTGCACAGCTGGTGTTCGGTTTCCAAGCCCATATGCATCAGTGCTCACCATGACACCCTGTTCCTGTGCGGAGTTTCAGAGAACAGGCTGGAACTAGAGAAGTTTTTGGCTTGGTTATAGCTGAAGTGTTTGCTTCCTTCGGACACTGAACCAGAAGACCTCAACTTTGGTCAAGAGTTGAGAGCACCCATCACAGATGGATTTAAAGCTGACCCTGCAGTTCACCTTACCTTCACTGCCTGAATTTGTGGGAGGTCGTGTGCAGCAGATCACGCAGAACTCTGTGTTGGAATTTGCTAAGGCATTAGCAGGTTTTGTCATTGGATTTCCTGTTTTACAGAACTGAAAGAACTGCTGTTTGCAAGAGTTAGTGATGATTCAGGTAAATGTATATGGGACAGAAAACTGCCTGTGAGAGACTGGCATAGAATCACAGAATAGTTAGGATTGGAAAGGACCTTAAGATCATCTAGTTCCAAACCCCTGCCATGGGCAGGGACACCTCACACTAAACCATGCTACCCAAGGCTCTGTCCAGCCTGGCCTTGAACACCGCTTGCCACAGCCTCCCTGGGCAACCCATTCCAGTGCCTCACCACCCTTACAGTAAAGAACTTCCTCCTTATATCCAATCTAAACTTCCCCTGTTTAAGTTTGAACCCATTACTCCTTGTCCTATCACTACAGTCCCTAATGAAGAGTCCCTCCGCAGCATTCTTATAGGCCCCCTTCAGATACTGGAAGGCTGCTATGAGGTCTCCACACAGCCTTCTCTTCTCCAGGCTGAACAGCCCCAATTTTCTCAGCCTGTCTTCATACGGGAGGTGCTCCAGTCCCCTGATCATCCTCGTGGCCCTCCTCTGGATTTGTTCCAACAGTTCCATGTCCTTTTTATATTGAGGACGCCAGAACTGCACACAATACCCCAGGTGAGGTCTCACGAGAGCAGAGTAGAGGGGCAGGATCACCTCCTTCGACCTGCTGGTCATGCTTCTTTTGATGCGGCCCAGGATATGGTTGGCTTTCTGGGCTACGAGCGCACACTGAAGCCGGCTCATGTTCAGTTTCTCATCTACCAATACCTCCAAGTCCTTCTCTTCAGGGCTACTCTGAATCTCTTCTCTGTTCATCAGACAAAGATGTTGAACCAGTCCCAACACCGATCCCTGAAGGACACCACTTGTTACTGGTCTCCAGCTGGACACTGAGCCATTGACCACAACTGTTTGCATGCGGCCATCCAGCCAGTTCTTTATCCACCGAGCGTTCCACCTATGAAACTATCTCTCCAATTTAGAGACAGGGATGTCGTGTGGGACAGTGTCGAACGCTTTGCACAAGTCCAGGTAGATGACATCAAATGCTCTATCCCTGTCCATCAGTTCCCTAGCCCCATCATAGAAGGCCACCAAATTGGTCAGGCAGGATTTCCCCTTAGTGAAGCCATGCTGGCTGTCACCAAGCACCTTGTTGTTTTTCACGTGCCTTAGCATGCCTTTCCAGGAGAATCTGCTCCAAGATTTGGCCAGGCACAGAGGTGAGACTGACTGGTCTGTAATTCCCTGGGTCATTCATTTTCCCTTCTTGAAAATGGGGGTTATATTTCCCTTTTTCCAGTCGTCGGGAACTTCACCTGACTGCCATGATTTTTCAAATATGATGGACAGTGGCTTAGCAACTTCATTCACCAGCTCCTTCAGGACCCGCGGATGGATTTCATCAGGTCCCATGGACTTGTGCACGCTCAGGTTTTAAGATGGTCGTGAACCAGATCCTCTCCTACAGTGGGCGCAAGGTCTTCATTCTCACAGTCCCTGCGTCTGCCTTCCATGACTTGGGTGATGTGGTCAGAGCATTTGGCAGTGAAGACCGAGGCAAAGAAGTCATTAAGAACCTCAGCCTTCTTCAAATCCAGGGTAGCCAGTTCTCCTGATAGCTTCCAGAGAGGACCTACGTTGTCCCTAGTCTGTCTTTCATTTGCAATGTAACTATAGAATCCCTTCCTGTTATCTTTCACACCCCTAGTTAAGTTTAATTCTAATTGGGCCTCAGCTTTCCTAACCTGGTCCCTAGCTTTCCAGACAACATACCTGTACTCTTCCCAGGCTGCCTGTCCTTCCTTCCACCTTTTATAAGCCTCTTTTTCCCTTCGAAGTTTCCTCAGGAGCTCCTTATCCATCCAAGGAGGTCTCCTGGCCCTCCTGCTGCACTTCCTTCTAGTTGGGATGCAGCACTCCTGAGCTTGCAGTAGGTGATTCTTGAATATCAACTAACAGTCTTGGGTCCCCCTGCCCTCTAGGGCTATATCCCATGGAACCTTCCTAAGCAGGTTCCTGAAGAGGCCAAAGTCTGCTCTCTTGAAGTCCAGGGCAGTGAGCTTGCTGCACGCTCTTCTCACTGTCCTGAGGATCTCAAATTCAACCATCTCATGATCGCTGCATCCAAGGCTGCCCTGGAGCATCACATTTCCAACAAGCCCTTCCCTGTTGGTGAAGCACGAGGTCAAGCATGGCACCTCTCCTTGTCGGCTCCTCTATTACTTGCAGAAGGAAGTTGTCTTCTACACAATCGAGGAACCTCCTGGATTGCTTGTGCTGGGCCGTACCGTTGCTCCAACAGATATCAGGGTAGTTGAAGTCCCCCATAAGGACAAGGGCCTGCAAGCTTGAGGCTGGTTCCTATCTATCTATAAAACATAGCCTTGGAGTAGAGATTTCAAGCCTCTAGCTATATGGCAAACTGAAAGAGAAGCAAGAACAAGTGCTTGGCCCTGAGGCCAAGAGGCAACAGATGACTTATGTCTATGTGGCTTTGGGTTACTCCTCTTTTAATTGGGCTGCATCTTTGCTGCGTAACTGTGGAAAAATGTGATACCTGTGGCCCTAAGCTGGTTTTTGCGTTTGTTTTGGATGCTTCAAGTTTAAAAAACATGGACTTGTGCTGCAACACACAATGCTCTCAAATTTCTCAACAGTCTCGCCATGCATGAGGATAGTTTAAGCTTGTTAAAAGTGGACCTTCAACAGAGACAACAGACCTGTAAACCATTCTGCTTAGAATGAAACCTCAGTTCTCCTCTCCCATGGCCCTGTTTGACATACTGTGGTTCTGATTTTGCCTGAAGCCACTGCTGTTCAAAGAGCTTGCAGAATCATTGCACCTGTGAGAAACAGGAAGAAGAAATCTCCCAGTGGTGTGTGTGTTGTCCTATTCCTACAGTCCCCAATGAAGAGTCCCTCCCCAGCATCCTTATAGGCCGTCTTCAGATCCTGAAAGGCTGCTATGAGGTCTCCATGCAGCCTTCTCTTCTCCAGGCTGAAAATGTGTAATACATGACATAAAGAACAGAGGTACTCCCACCAACTCCTTATAAAAGGGGGAAAAGTTAATCACAAAAGGGAGCCATTGCCATGAGGATGACACCAGAAGGACACCTCTCTAAGGACACTCTCCACCGATGACTATTGCAGGTTCTGAGGGACACCCTCCATAAGACATTGCCATGAGGGCAATTCCACCAGGACACCTCCAAGGGTACCTTCAAGGGGTGACTCCACCAGGACACCCACCTCCAACGACTACTACCGGCTCTTGGGGACACTCTGTTCCAATACCGACTACGAACACTGAAGGACTCCCACCAGCAATGCCGACAGATCCCCGGGACACCACTGGATCCACAGTGGTGACTCTTTCTCTGTCTCCCTCTGCAACCCAAATCCTTGCTTCATCTCCATCCGTTCTTCAATCCTTCCTGTCGCTATCCTCTTTATTACAATAATTTCCTTTTTTTTTAATAATAATTTTCTTTTTGTAGTAAACCAACTGGTCGATTACAGTACTTGACCTCTTTTGTGCCTTAATTTCACTCGTGGGATCATGAACAAAACAGGGTCTGACACTGGGTTTTTCTCCAATTGGACTCTGACAGGATGCAGCCCCCAAAACCCCAGTTGTTTCCCTCCTGCAGCAGCAGGACTTGCCCAGCTCACTATGTAGCACAAAGCTCTGAAAAACTGTTCTGATTAATCTCATCCCTGCTCAAGATTATCTGTCCCGCTGCATCCATCAGGCTTAGGTATATTCTAATAATTCTTAGCCCCCAAATAGGCAGACTTCCATTTATAATGGGCGTCAGAAACCTGAGCTTTGCTGACTCACCCTTGTGGAAGGGCACAGAAAACATCAACCAACCGTTGCTTTACATCAGGCATGTCTCTGATTTTGGTGACAACGTGGCACAGCAGCCCGAGCTCCTCCACTGCGCTGAGAACTCTATTTGTGAATGGAAAGGGGGGGGGGGGGGGGGGGGATGACAAGACTAGGAGCATAGGAAAATTTTGATGCCTGTTGTTATGACAAACAGTTCAAATTCTGTAAACTAGAAAAGTGTCATTTAAATATAAATTTAAAAAAATGATCAGGTGAAAGGCATTTTAATTGAACGTAATTAGCTCCACAGACTGAATTGTATTGTTCACTGTGCAGTAGTCCTTCGAGCATATTGATCTCCAGTACATGTGTTGGCAGTAATAAAGCTTTGCCTATAGGGTTTTTTTCCTGCACTTCTGAACTCCACACTCACAGGAAATCTCTATCTCTGGCATGCTTCCAGCTTCATAACCATAATCCCATGTGAGTTCAGTTCCAGCTTTCACATGCCTAAGAAACAAAACAGTCAATTTGTTTGAACCAAGTGAACAATGCTATGCTTGCAATTTGTCACCAGCCCCTCACGTGCAACCCCTAAAATCATAGGGGCAGGAGCTTGTTGGGAAAGAGCCAAGAGATAAAAGGAATCTCTGGGACATGCATGCTGCTTTGCCCACCAGAGCTATGCAGTGTGCAAATAGCCACACCTAGGAGAAACAAATTTATCAAGCAGTGCAATAAGGTCAGAGCCTAATCAGTCTGGTTTAGCCTGCTCTAGCTTAGAGGCAAATTCTGGGAAACAAAAGCAACAAAAACAAAACAACAAAACCTCCAAACGAAAAAAAAAAGAGGAAAAACCAGAAGTGAATAAATCTAAATGAGAACACAAACAGTTTTGTTATTTTTACTACGTACAGTGCATTACTAAGATTCAAACAGATCTCTAGATACATTGATGAGGAAGACTATCATCTCTGGTCTGACAAGCCAGGTTTTAATGCAATTGCACTATCTATATGCAGGAAGCCTAAGACTCAGAATTAAGCACATGCTACTCATGAATCAGCCACTCTGACACAGTACATGAAAGAGAAGAAATTTCTCAGGTAGGCAACTCATTGCCCCAAATGAATGCTGAATTAAATATCTCAGTCTAAGATGCTGAGCCATAAGTGAGGAAAACAACAATTAAATAGGAGTATTACAAAGAGAGTAATTCTCCAATATAAGGAACATTCAGTGAATTACAGGCAGCAGGCTGAGAACAAAGAACGAGGACTTTTCAAATATCACATAATTGCAACCTGGAACTTATTGCCTTAGGATGTTCTGGAGGCCAGAAACATCAAACAAATTAAAAGGTGACTGAGCAAGTTCGCAATTAAGCTAAACGATCCAGATTCAATCCTTAATGTAGAAAAGCTGCAAAAGGGTGACTGCCAGAAAGCAGGAGGCCCAGCCAGGGGAACTTTCCTTCAACAATCTTCCCTAAGTGTCTTTTGCTGACCACTGTTACCTCTCTCCACTGGCTTCAGTCCCCATTAAACAATTTTTTACCGAGTACCCGAGCAAGAAAGACTCTTGCTAAACAAAAAGCTTTTTCTGGTACATCTCAAAACATTGTCTTCACAGTTCTTGGAAGCCCTCCTCACAGCGCAGTCCACAGCATCTGTGCTGATATGGACCACGGCTGCAAGACTCCACAGAGGATCAGTGCTCCCTGGGGTTTGTTTGGAATGAATTCTCTCCTGTATTGTAAGTTTTCACCTAGCACACCTGCTGTCACATGCATCAGCTAGCTTAATTCACACAATCTTTTCCCTCCTGGGTTTAGCTGCTGCCTTCTCATGTCTCAATGGTACCAGCTCTCTGTACCTCACTTCCTGTCATCCACTAAGGGAAGACGCACATCTTCTGCTTTCAGAGGAAGTTTTCACCATCATAATGCCACCTCCCCAGGACACATGTGGCTACACAAAGTCCTGCTTCTTTTGGCAGCTGCAAGGAGAAGAGCTGGAACCAGCTTGTTTGGCCCACAAAATGTCTCAGCCTTAAGACCCTGTAAGATCTAATCCTGCCCTACAGGACACAGATCTGCTGACCATTCCTTGAGACACAACACTGGAATCAGTGAATCCTGGCTTTTGTATGACCATACTGAATTAAACTTATTTTACCACTGAAAATTATCACTGAAATGGACCCATCAAAAATCAAGCTTTCCTCTTTATATTTCAGTGCAAAACTGAATAATAACTCATTAGTGATAAACAGCTGTATTTTTTCAATGTTTAATGCTCAATAATAAGTCACCAATAAAAAGGTAGTTTTACGGTTTCATGATCCAAACATATATTTGTTGTTATTATTTCCTAGTACCTAAGCACTGCTTTTTTCCTAGTGCCTTGAATGGACAGCATTCAACTTCCAAAAACTCACCTGTTTGTGAAGAACGCCACCCATGGGAAACTTCTGTTGTGAGTCTCTACAAAAATGCACTGTGCAAAGAGATTTGGGGAGCAGCTGTGCTGTAAAAGAGAATACCTGAATTAGAAGCAGTGCAATACCTCATCATAGGCCAAAGAACTTATTTTGTATCAGATACCTGTCACTAGTAAAGGTAGTTTCTTCCTTCCCTTCTCCAGCCCACACAGAATCTCAGTTACTCAGTGCCATTGCCACTAATGTTTGCAGAAACTATGCCTCTTTCAAATATTATTTCCATCATATTATGAAAGTATTTTTGCCTAGGAAAACCAAGTTATTTTATCAAGCTGTCCTCCAGAAATTTATGGATAGAATTCATCTTAGATTTAGGATGCACCACAAGTACTCAGTACATGACAGATGCTAATGCTGGCAGCCAGGGGAGCAGTACTAGTATCAGGGAGCAAGGAACAGATTAAATAATTGTGTATATTGGCAAAGAGATACAAGATGTGAAAGGTCATTCAGGTGCCCATAGAAACACGTGTATATTCCTGGATGCAGAAGAAAGGTTTCAGCAAGATGTGCTACTAATCTTAACACCATATTATCTCTGCAAGGTGGAACACCTTAAATATATGCAAAGATTTTGCTGTAACACACATATTCATGCCAATGAAGAGAAACAAGTTACTTGCAGAGTACATGCAAACGTGTCTATGAACTATTTGTCTTAGTTGCTGTACTTGGCAATTCATTACTTTTTCTTGGCAAGTCAAAACTGAGAGTTATTTACCAGATATGTACGCAATATGACAGACTACTTTCTGAACATATGATGGAACAGTAGGGAAATTTCCTACAATATCACAACACTTACCCTAAATCAGCAGAAGCTAGAATATACAATGGCTGGAAACAAAAACCAACAAGGCTGGGAGAAAGCTTGTGGTTCAACAAAATGTGCCATTTGATCTCTGGACCCCCCAAAAAGGCTGTTCAAAAATTTGGGAGAAAGATGTCATTCACTATTGGGGAATATTTCACTTGGGTAACTAGTGGTGCTAAGAATGACAGCTAGTATATAGTATGCATCATCTTAGGGAGGCACTAACAGCCGGTGTGACCTAGCCTGCTGTTGTCAGTTCAGAATGCAAGGAGCACCACACACTCTGCCTTGTCATGCACCTACCACATGTATATGTTTGCATTTATGTGCAAAAGCTTTCCTGTTTATGCAGATGCACGATTTATTTATTTAAGCTAAGACAACCAAGAAAGAACATGCAACTTTTTACTTACATTAAGAAAACGACCCACATTTCCTTCTTTTGTGGCATCCAGTACATAAATATTTCCTTCATTAGCATTTTTCAGATGCATCCTGTCACCATCAGCCTCCTCACAAAATGGGTCTTTCGACTGCCTGTGATTTTCCTTTTTGCAGTCAGCCTTTAGTGGTACGTTTTTGAATGGCCTCATAACACACATGTCATCCAGCACACCTGACTTGCCACAATCAGCACCCTGCAGAGACACATTCTTTCTTTTGCATTCTGCACTGTCCACATCAGCAGACTCAGTCTGTCCAGTTTCCACTGGATGTGCTTCCTTTTGCTGTTGAGCGGATTCTGTCAATGGACACACAAGTTATTTTTCAGTGACAGCCTAAACCTTTGCCTGGTTTGTCCCAGGACTATTACCCACCCAACCTTTGTTCTCCAAAATGTACACAGCTTCCTTTCTATTTACAAGTCTATAACACAGCTACCCTTTTCCATGTCCCTCATCAATCCTCCCACAAATAACTGATTCCTGCTGTGGTGCCTAAAGCACTTGCTCACATGAGTAAGCTAGTCTCTCATTCTTAAATCCCACTCCAGACTGACTTTTTATCTTCATTTTATCTCCACCGTAATTTCTGAGAGAATCACAAACTGTTACTAAGACAGAGACAAGATGCAAGTAGTTTCAAACTGTCTTCCCAGCTTGAGGTCCCTCCACCCCTGAATTATACCCTCTTAATTTTTTTTTTTTTGTACTAGGTGTAACAGTAAGATTCACAAGACTGCCTCTCCCACAGTTGCACTGGATTTGAGAAGTTGCTGTCAGGACTGTTTGACATGACCCAAGATCAATTTTGCAGGCAAAAGACTGCCCTGTACCAGTTAATGCAATGTATCATGCAAAGCAGCAATACCTCCTGTACCACTGAGGTCTCTTAAGATAGCCTAAGCATTATGCAGACAACATCATTCTAGTCTGAGAACAGGCCTGCCCATATCCAAACATCGCTTTCTACATTTCTACATCTATGATCTGATGGGGCACAAATGCACTAAGACTGCAGTATTTATAGCTCTGCAAACCTACTTTCTTTTCCTGTTTTTGATCCACTGGTTAGTTTTGTTTTGCTTGACTGATGAATCTGAGAACTATTATCTTCATCTGAGGTGGCACTGTCCACCATTGTATCAATTTCCTTTAAACAGAATAAAAGATAATGAATAGGTTGTGATGTATTGTTGCTGTATGCAACTCTGGATCAACACAGTGGCTTTTAGGACTCCAGGGCTGAAGTTTCAAACCTACTGTAATGGCTATGGCTATGTTTCAAAAGTTACTGCAATCCAACATTTATCTTCATTTCAAATTATCATTCAGAATAACCTGGAAAGCACTTGCTGCTCAATAAAATATTCGAGTAAGTGCTTAGGTCCCACAGTCTCACCACAATTTAAATACATTTGTGTAAGTTGCTGAGCCAGAGCCCAAACAAACTTTTTACACCATTTCAATAAAATGAACAGATATGACAGCATTTCTCGTCTCCCACCACAAAAAGGCAGTTAGTTACATGAGCTTGAGAATGGACAGTGCTGCCAAATGTTAGTGTGAAAATCCCACATGCATTTCTTAAGTGCAATGAAACCAATGATACCTACAGAGTAAGTTTCCCCAGATTCCCTCCTTTGCAAGTATTAGCAGGCAACACTTCACACCCATCAAACTCTCCCAGCTGCTGCACTGTATCACAAAACTGTGTCCAGCTCCTGAGATTTTCCTTCTCTCCCTTCTGTGTCATTTGTTGGGGAGACATCGCAAGAATATTATAACTCTGCAGTTAATTACAGGAGGCAGTGGAGGGGGAGTGTTGTAACACCAGCCAGCAACAAAACACCACACAGCCACTGTCCACCCCTGGTGGGATGGGGGAGGAGAACTGGAAAACTGTAAAACAGTTAATAACTGAAAAAAGTTAAAATTATTATTAAGAGTAACAATAATAATAGTAGTAGTAATGAAAAGGGAGATGACAGAGAGAGGAATAAAACCCAAGTCAGACAAGTGATGCACAATACAATCACTCGCCACCTGCTGACCAGTGCCCAGCCTGTCCCTGAGCAGTCCCTCCTAGCTAACTCCCCCACTTTATATAGTGAGCATGATGTTCTGTGGCAAGGGGGTTGGAACAAGATGATCTTTAAGGTCCCTTCCAACCCAAACCATTCCATGATTCTATGAATATCCCTTCCGCTAGTTCAGGTGTCCTGCCTCTGCTTCCTCCCAACTTCTTGTGCCCCTCTTCACTGGCAGAGCATGAGACTGAAAAGTCCTTGATTAGGGTAACTGCTACTTAAAACTAAAACATTGGTGTGTTATCAGCACTGTTCTCAGACTAAGGCCAAAACACAGCATTGCACCTGCACAGGAAGAAAATTAACTCTAACCCAGATGAAACAGGACAGGGAGAATGATTTAAGACTCTCAAGGCTGGAGTGTAAATGAAGGGTGGGGAAGGGAAGGCTGTGAGAGTAGTTAATGCTGGTCTCAGGGAACATATTGAAAGATTGGTAATGGAGAAGGGATGGGTTATAGCTTCCAGCACACCAGTTTAACTCACAGTGTGATACAGTTCCACGAAGAAAGATCATTAGAACTATTTAAATGTGTAAAATGAAAAGTTCAAAATTAACATACATACTCAGCACAGTGAAAAATTAATCTATTAAAGCCACTTACCACCTTTTTTTGCCTGTGATTATGAAAAATAACTGTTCTAGTTCCAGGCCTTCTTGCAGTGTCAAGGCTTAAATTCCTTGGATGAACCCTGTACAGAAAGGTCAAAAGGAAATTATAAAGACAAAAAGAGCCATAAGTATCTTTTACACATACATTTCTCTAACAATCTCTAGTTCATAAAGAACAGACTACAGCAGAGCCTGCTGTCTGGCCTTGGCCCAAGTTCTGTGACTATTTTGCCTTTAAGAACTGAGGACACAGATTAGATTATCAATAGCATCTGCAAAAAATCCCCATTTTTTCATACTTTTTTGAGAGATGAGCGACTGCTTTTACATCTTTTCCCAGTTCTCCTGCTGAGAACCTACAGACAAGAGTTTTGCCTTTTTTCTGCTACCACTTGCAATAGTTTTGACAGTGCAGCTTTCAAACAAGAAAGCAAAGATGTTGTGGGAACAAGGATAGAGAGGAAGACAGAGGGGGAGATGGGCAATATATACCAGATGTAGAAAATACTCTCCCACAGAACCTCACTCCACATCAGCAGAAGGTTGAGGAAGGATGGGAAGCAGTGTTTGGCATATACATTTAAAACATCTAAAATCACATTAATTTGGATTACATTCAGAGTGCAGCAGAAAACACCACTTTCAAAACTAATCTTAGTAACGGTGCAATGTCTAGCAAAAAGTAACAGCTCTTATTTAAGAAAAGTTTCAATGTAAAACATTTAGATGTGTTTTCTTGCCACAAAAAACCAACATGGTACTTCTTTGGGCTACTGGTAATGGCAACAAATGCTACTCTCTGAGGCTTTCTTAAGATTTCAACTCCTTTATAAATTCAAGAGGTGCAGTAGCTGCAAGAAGTTGTGACAATATTACATAACATTGTTTGTCCTTTTAAAGGCAATCTGTTTGAGTGAATGACATGTCAAGCTTAGCACGTCCTGAGTTCTACAATATTATCTACAATAATCATCTACTATGAAATAAGCAAGAATTTGCAGTCATTTATGAGCAGTACAGTTTTTACAAAGCAGTGTGGCAGAGCAAGGAACAAAGTCTAACAAAACAAGCTCCTGACTTCCCTCTGAAAAGGCTATTCACAAAAGCACGTGGTTATTTTGCAATAATTCAATTTTAAGAACCCTGATAGTCTATGAAACCCTGACTGTAAAATGAACACAGGATCAGAACTTTTGCATAAATCACTGCAAAAGTGAGGTGGTGTCATACACCTTAAAGGAAAGGTGAAGGCTCCCAGCAGGAAAGATTACGTCACAAAGAACAAGAGGTTTAGAGACTGGGAGCAAAGGACATGACAATTGGTGGCTCATTTGTTATCAACTTCTTCAGTGATATCAAGTATCTTTAAATCATTTATCTCAAGTATTTTCTATTAATTCTTTCAAATCAGCACAGTTATGAATGCCCTGAACAGACCAAGTACACCCAGGAAAGAAATTGGAATTCTAAAAATGCCAAGTAGTGCACACAGTAAGAGAAATTAATATAGAGGAAAAACTGTCCCATTAAAAGAAATAATCAGGAATTAACAAAAAAGTTGAGAAAAAAATTCCAACAAACCACCCCCAGGTGAGGACTTTCAGCTGTACTTTAAGTTTTACAAAGGACTTTCTAGAACAGCAGAATATTAGTCTTGTTGTGCCTAAGTTTGCTTTGGTAAACTTACACGGTTGATTTATTTTCATTATCCACAATCTGAGACAAAGATCCTTGCTTCTCAGGAATGTCATTTTTGCCAGTCTGCACTAGTTCAATCACAGAGTTTGAACAATCAGTGTCAAGTTTTCTTTTTTTGGAAAAAAAGCCATGGCCTCTGTTATTCACAGCATTCTTTTCTTTCAGCTCTTGACCAGCATCTCCCAGTACTTGAACTTCAGCTCTGCTCATTAATCTGCCTGGGGAGAAAGGACGGGGGGAAGATAGATACATTTTAAATTGTTTGGTTGCTAAGATGGGTCACGCTTGCTATTGCGGCTCAAACTTACATAAGAACAACCAGCAACCACAAACATTATTTGGGAAAGCAAAATATGAATGAATTTATACTGAAGAAAAACTAGCCCTGGCACACAATATGCACAGACCTGTGAGGCAAAAATCAACAGTCTGAGATAGCCCTTGCTCCGGAATGTTTTTGATTGCCTTGCATCAACACACTGCAGAGTTCTTCAAGGTTCTTCATCCATCTAACCATCTTACAAGTTAAGACTGTTGAGTCACTTCTCTTCCAACCCTGTACTTCCCTGTTCTCAAAAAAATTCCAGGGCACAGGCCACAGGATAGGGAGTATTACACTCTACATATTCTATGGGCCACCGTCTGTTACCTGAGTAAGTACAGACAAAAGTCCCCTTGTCGATATCATCTAGGCAGCGGACGCCCCAGCCTTTCTTCTCCGTGTTGAACACTTGCAACCTGACTTGAATGCCATGCTGTACAACTCTGTTCTGACACATCATCTTGTCACACCTGCACAACACACTACACTCATAAATTCTGTCAAGAGGAAGCAAAACAAAACAGTGTCAAAGAATGCATTACCAAAACAAAGTCATTACTATTAATTTCCCTCCTAAGCATTAACAAAGCAGTTGACTAAAACTGATTGTGGAGCAGTGCTCTGAAGCCTGTAAATTTCTTGATGGCTGATTCATCAATTTTAATAGTCTGTCAGCCAGATTTTGGTATAAGTAGACAAGAAAAGTAAATGCTACCTTTTTATTTTATAGGATTTAATCACACAGAAGCAGAAAACCCTGTGAAGCACCTTTTTTCTATGGTGGAACAGATTATAGCAGAGCCAACCTGTCACCTGTCTGGTGACTGTACCTGTCATAGGTTTTAGAATTTAATGAAACATTTGTAAAAAAATTCACAATTGTGTTTTGTTTGGTTGAGTTTTTTTTTCCATTTGTTTCTAGGCTTACTGGCAGCTTTAATTCTGCACACCAACCATAAACTAACATCACAGCAACAAAGGACTGAAAGAGCTCCTTAAGCTTATGGGTCCAGCCCTTAGCTATTGCAGCAAGCTACTTTGCACAATTCCTCTCCTAAACATCTGAGTTCCTGGCACCTTCCCTAGGCCATATATTAATAATCCATGGGACCTGAATAAGAGAAAGGGCAAATACTTGCAGCACAGGGATGGCTTTAGAGACTCTTGGAAGAGTCACATATAACCAAGTCTGGCAACAGCAGCTGGCTCATATTTCTTTAGGACTCTGGTCCCACTGAGCAAATGGGTAGACAAGACACAGGGCAAAAAACAAGGGTGGCTACTGCTTCCTACTTCTTTGGCTGACACATGCCGTAATGCTCTTGTGATAGACCTCCTTCCCTTGTGGAAAGTTTCCTTCCTGTCTCCCTCCTCCCCTTGCCATGCCTGAATGAACCAGCATATGTGCCAGATATGGCCTGAGCTCCTGGACCAGGTAATACTTCATCCTTTTCTTGGACCTTGAGCTAAGCTGTGAAAATTGTAGTTCCTGCAGTACAAAAGAGTTTTATTGCTTCCATTACTCAAGTCACATTAATTATTTTTCTGTCATCCTGATCTGTCAGTAAATTGTGACAAAAATGGAAGGTTTCAGTAATCTAGACACTGCAGATATTTTAGTACTGTAACACACTACAGGAGGACAGTAAGAGCAAATGAAATAACAGTTAATAGTTGGTCTTTCTTACCCACTAGGAACAGGTCGCTCTAGTCTTTTGTAACTGTATCCATAGGATGTTTTACCACTTGGAGATAAAGAAGTTTTACTACAGCCTCTTGCAGTTAGCTGTAGGCATGCACATTTTGACCTAAAAAAAAAAAAAAAAAAAAAAAAAAAAAAGAAAAATCAGTAAAACATCCCAGAATGTATTTGGAGCAGCGTAAATCAAACATACATCTAGACAATTTAAAAAGTACTTGACTGTACACACCCCTTTATATATACCTGTTTTCCCTCTCACCCTTGCCCCAAGGAAGTGAAGAATTTCACACTGTGGACTGGAGAACGCAGGCAACAATGCTGGGCTTCACCACCTCATGTCATGACAACTCCAAAGACCCGATGGATCAAATCCTGGACCCCAAAACTGCATATCAAAAGCATCTCAGCTCTTGGGAAAATGAAGTGCAAAGAATCATCATGCTATGTGTTTCCTGTTCCTCACTGCTCAGCTGAAACTAAGTAATTTTAATTACCGAATCTTCATTATACTCGACTGTGATTTCAAGCTTTATTTGGCTTATGGGCAATTATACTGCACACCAGCACATGCAACTGCCCTAGCTATCAATAATACAAAATGGATTCAACACCAAATAACACCTACAGGCATAGATCACACAAACACCCTTCAAGAAAGCAGACAAAATTATCAACAAACTCACATTTGCTAACTGTGGGAAGTTCCTACTGAGTATTATGCAGCCCAGAGTTACTGAGCTTTAGAAAAAGACAGCAATGAGCAACAGAACATTATGTGTTCTGCGACCCCTAGTTTCTGTTTAGACAAGGGGAAGGATGAGATGCAGAGGGTGTGAATGGGGATGTTTCCTACTCTGTCCTCAGTAACCTCCTAAGTTCCAAATGATCTGGTCTCTCCAGCTGTCCCATTCATCTATAGGATAACATCCCAGCAGGAGCTGAAGCAGAAGTTGTCATGCAGGATCTTTCCCTGCCTGCTAGGAAAATGAGCTTTCCTCTGCTGGCACAAGACTGTCCCTCTCCCACTCCTTTCCCAAAGTTGAGAAATCTGCCTCCCAGCTCTATCAGAAGGAGCAGCACTGTTAATTTAGGAAGAAAGGGAAAGGAACACAGTAATCCACCTGCTGATCACCTCCTCCCCTACAACAGAGGCTGCATGGGTAGGAGCACCCAAGTTCTGCAGAAGACAAAGACACAGTGGTGTCAGTCAACACAGAACATGGCACAAGACAACTACCAGATACTCCAGCAGTGTTGATCCTATGTTATTCAGCACTGTTTGGTACTGTATGCCTCCACACTTACACCACTACCCTACCATTGAGCCATCATGCACCACTTGACTGGAATTTTTCTACCTACCTATCAATGCAGCCATCTGTGCAGCCACATGAATCAACAAACATGTTGGATAAGTTGTTGAGGTAATATCCACGTGGCCACGATGCCCTCCGATATTTGAAATAAGGTAACCTTGCACAGTCAATATCGTTGCAGAAGGAAACAGGCACAGACTCGGCTCCATGGCTAATATCAGAATCAAACACAAGGGGTTCTGGATTTACAGTGTTCCTGCCCAACAGTACATATGTGTTGAAGGAGAAATAATCAACAAATAAGAAATTGCACTCAGTTTCAAACAAATAATTTTGTACATCTTGAAAGCTTCTTAGACTCCGACCGCATGGAGCTTTGTAATTCACATCCAGTGATTTGGAAAGGCAGTCTGCTTTTGCATGGCGTCTTTGGAAGCGAAACAGGATCGGTATCTTAAGAGGATTTTCCCCCTTGTAGAAGCCTGCTGCTCTGTTGGCAAGACATGCACTAGAGCACTTGTGGTTCTGATACTGCAGGTGTGAAGGTAAATCTTGAATTTTACTAGATGCTTCTTTACTCCCTGAACCTGTTTTTTCCACCTCCTTGTTTCTGCTATTTGGAATAAAAAAGAAAGAAAGAAAGAAAAGAAAGAAAGAAAGAAAGAAAAAAAAAAAAAAAGCAGCAGCTTAGAAAACAAAACTACTCAAAACCTCGGGTTTTTCATGTAGGCCAAATTAAAAATACTTTCACTTTGAAAACTGGCAGTATTCAAAACTGAGTTGAAAATGATGAATTTAGAAATAAAAGAAAGAGATTAAAATTTCTCAAATGCACTAAAGAATATGGTAAATAAGGAACTGGAATAAATGAATAAATACACTGACCTTTGAGAACCTTCTACAGACTTTGCAGTGTTGTCATCTGTAAGAAGAGGCTGCAGTTTGGGTTTGGTTTCCTGTATGCCATCTCTGTCAAACACATCACTTACTGCAAAAATTTGAATGCAAGCAAAACCTTCATCAATCCACATTTCTAGTTATAATAAAACTTACTTTAGACACTGAAGAGATAGTTGCCAAAATACATTAAAACCAATACATTGCTATGAACTACAGCTAACAAAGAGCATGCTAGCAAGTGCCCTACAAAAAAGCCCTACTGCTTTTTATAATTTATACAAAAGTAATGTGTTTACATATCCATTCGCAAGTGAGTGACTAGCTGACACGAGACATACTCTTATACCTTCTGTCCTGCTCCTCCTCTCCCTCTCTTTCTCCTTTCTTTTCCCCCAAAGGGTAAAACTTAGGTGTGCACTGATAAACCCAAGGCAGAAATATATCATGAAAATATACCCCCTTTCACAGATGACCACATGATTTGCTCATTTTGCTTTCAAAGTTCACGGAGACAACATGCATACGAAACACATATACATATTTCTTTTCATTATTTGAGGTGAAAGGCTGCTAGGGTATTACACCTAGTGGAGCCATGCACAAGATGAATCCCAGCTGTCTACAAGCAGAGTTATCAGGCTTACTAACTCAAACTCTCTTCACTTGGTACCAGCCATATACACATACACACAAACCACAAAAGTACAAACCCAGGTCCAGTACCTGAGGAAACTAATAATTACATTTTTTTCCCCTTGTAATGTTAGCAGGCTTCTCAGAATTATTTTACCGATTTCAACAAAGGGATATAAGCTCCTAGTGAGTAAAACAAGACAAATTAAATCCACACACCAAATAAATGTAATTGAGATGCACATACCATTTGTCAAGGTTAAGAGATCACCTACATTAGCTTCATTCACCAGTGCCCAAGCTTGCCAGCATTCTGTGCAAACCCCAAAACAAAACAGATATTAAATGCAATTTACGTAATGATAACAGGGACAATGATAATAGGGAAAACAAGGTGCAAGTCCTTTAGAGACACTTGTTTCCTCACAATAATAAAATAGAGCATTGCAAGACTGATACTATTAGAAACCTTTTGCACCACAGTCTTTAATTACTACAAAATTACAGCTCGTATTAGTAGTTGTGAATCAGCACTGAGTATCTTCTGGCTTTTGGAAACCTGCTGGAATGTTTCCAAGCACACACAAAACAGTAGCAGTAATGGCTATAAGCACAATTTAGTGCAAGTTTTTCTCTTTAATTCGTCATCAGACTAGTCATCTTCTGGATAAGAAGAGCTAGATCTTGGCAGACTTACTCCTAAATTGATGGAAATGGCCTTCAGATAGTAAGAACACAAAGAGACCAGCTCTGTCTCAACCTCTTACCCCATGCAATAAATATTACAAGGTAGCAGACAAATGGCAGCAAAATCCATGTTAATATTTTAGTTTGACATTTTTACAGAAGAAAGCATAGAAAAAATGAGATTTCACTATGTTATAAATTCATTGTGTCATCTGGGGATTTCAGTTCAACTTTTATCTATGCACTGCTGTAATATTTTGTCACAAAAATCACAGTGTGGCAGCTCAAATACAGAAAAAAAATGCGCTCCCAATTTAGAGCAAGCACTACAATGCAGAGTGTGTGGCTCTACCTGTTTAAAAGCATATTACACTATCGCACATTTTCTTGCACAAAAAAAAAGTGTAATAAGATCCATATAATACATGTACATGGGCAACTTCATAAAAAAAAAAAGTTTTTTTTCACTTAAATAAGCCAGTAAAAAGAAACTTGTGTAATGCTCCAAGCTTATCAGACTTCTGATTTTGACGTAGATAAAGGAAATTTATTTCCCTGGAAATCACAAACAATCTTTAATGCATCGCTCTCACATTTTTCTACTAATGTTTCAAGTTACAATGGTGTCTCTGACAGGAAATAACCCATGATCCCACCTCAAACCCATTCCATTCACCAAGATCAACTTGAAAGTCTAAACCTTCTGATAGACAAAACACAAGGCAGTCCAGACATTTCATTATTTCTCAAGAATTAATCTTCACTTGGTACAAGCCATACCAAGAATAAACATTATCATAAGTGTTTCTCAATAATAAACATTTCAGTTTTAGATGCCTAAGAGCCACATGTTGTTTGAAAAAGTATACAGGCAAAAATGAGAAAACTGCAAAATGCACCTGAAATTATTAGTATTTTTTCAAAGAAAGAAGGTATATATTTTTTAAAGTTCTTAAAAATGCCATGTATCGAGTAATTTAAATTCAGATATATCTGAATTCTCACAGATAACACACAGCCCTAGACAGAGCAGGCCACAGCTCCCCAGCAGTCCAGCTTAACCGTCACAAGGATTTCAAACCTTGGTTTGTGGCAGTTCCATTCTTGATCTTTTCCTTTAGCAAAAGCAGCACATTTTGCACCTGCTCAAATATGGCATCCACTCTTCTACCTCCCAACTGTGTCCAAAAGGTCTTCAAATCACCTGAAATGCAAATTCCCATTTACAAGTCTGTACAGCTCCTGAGACGTCTAAAACCATCAGTAGCTCCTAGTGGACTTCTGAAAGGCTCACGCTCATTTAATTGGGAGGCACTTCTGAAAAAACAGGCAGGACAACTATCTTCTTCTGTAGGCTTAAACTTTCAGAAGTCTATTCCTAAACCTAGTAATGAAAGTGAAACAGAAGCCAAGTGACAAACTAGAACAGCTTCCAATGGCCCACGATGATTTTTCAAGTAATTTTCAAGGACATCTACAAAAGGTGCTCTGGAAGCCTTTCTCCAAACACCAGCAAATTAGTACCACTATAAATTAATCACCACTGAAACTCATAGAAATAACACATGAGCTGAACGTATTATTAAATAAAAGACATCTGGATTTTGTTAACAGCTGTAACTCCCTTAGCTACACAAGCTATCCTGCCCCATCGATATTTTTGTTATGGTTTCTAGGGAAAAAAGGTTCAAAATGTTTTCATATAAAAGCAGTTTGATAAATTTTGTTGACCAAGTGATATCAGTTGCAGTAATTCATGCAACCCTAATATCGTGCCTCCTTCCTCCACTAGAAATATTTGTAAAGAACATTTTGTTTAAAGAAGTGTTTTTTAAGCTACTGGTTCAGAAGCTCTTCTCTTCCAAGTGGCTGTACCTTTGAAGGTGGGGCAAGGAAGGCCGGGGCAGGGCAAGGCAAGGCAAGGCAGAGCACAGCAAAGCAAGGCAGAGCACAGCAAAGCAAGGCAGAGCACAGCAAAGCAAGGCAGAGCACAGCAAAGCAAGGCAGAGCACAGCAAAGCAAGGCAGAGCACAGCAAAGCAAGGCAGAGCACAGCAAAGCAAGGCAGAGCACAGCAAAGCAAGGCAGAGCACAGCAAAGCAAGGCAGAGCACAGCAAAGCAAGGCAGAGCACAGCAAAGCAAGGCAGAGCACAGCAAAGCAAGGCAGAGCACAGCAAAGCAAGGCAGAGCACAGCAAAGCAAGGCAAGTGAAGGTGGGGTGGGGCAAAGCAAGGCCTGTTTTCAGTTCTGGGCCCCTCACTACATGAGAGACATTGAGGTGCTAGAGCCAGTCGAGAGAAGGGCAACAGAGCTGGTGAAGGGCCTGGAGCACAGGTGTGATAAGGAACAGCTAGAGCAAGAAAAAAAACCCAGCCAACGGCATGGCTACTCATGCCAGCTACTGGAAAAAATACTTGGGTGCGTGTTTCCTCTACAAGACCTGTAGTGCTGCTAACCGACATCTTTTACACTATAGAAGACAAAACTATTATTTTCTGGTTATCATTTTCACACCAGAAGTGGTGCTAAATATATACTACTTTCCCCTTCCCCTCCACAAATTCAAATTATCCTACATTCAAGTCTCTCCTCCCCAGAACTGGTAAGGTTCTCCACTTCAAGGAAGTCACTCAGTGCTGCGAGAGGTGCAGAATGAACAAGAGATCAGGTAAGAAATTAAAATGGTTGTAGCTACTTAGTTTTCTAAAATTTGTACCAGTAGATACTACAGCAGGCATCAGTGGGAGGACTGTGTGGTGAAACAGCCATTCCACTTTCAAATAGCTATCCCACGTCTTGTCAGGACTTAGCTGACACTTAGATGAAACAAGCTCTGGGAGGAAATTCTTTTTTACTTAGGTAACTTCTTATCCCTCCAGCATGAAGCTGTCATGGGATGACCCATACTTTTCAGCACACTCGGCCGAGCCTACATAATCCCCACTGCCTCTTAGCTCTCACATTTATCTCTTTTTTAAATTAATGCTGCCAGAACAGCAGTATTGCAACTAAATAAGATTTATTTAGGAAAAAAATAAGGTAAAAAAAACCCAAACGAATCCACTTCTCAACTGATAAAGTGAGATATCTGCAGTGTAATACCACTAGGGAGAGGTAAAGCAGCATTCTGCAACCAAACTGAAGACACCAAATTTCTATCACCTTTAACAACACAGAGAACATAAAATGCATCTTACTTGTAAGTTAGCTACTTAATCTCTTCTATAACTGAAAAAAAAACAAACCCCAAAACATATCCATTCATTCTGGCACAGAAATTTCATTTGGTTGACAGGGAAAAGACTGCCGATTCCTAGACAGGTTTCTCACATGATCTGTCCATTGACTATTCAAAACGTATCTGTTTTAAGGCTTACTTTTGTCTTCCATCTTCTGGGGCGGCTGTCTGGAGGGCTGTCACACTCTTTGCGGTATCACCCAGCACTGAGGCCAGCTCAGGCAGGAGAGCCCTGTGTTGATCTCGCTGTCCTCCAGCACCGTTGCGGCGGTCTGCTGACACGAGCTGCTCTGCCAGTCAGGCTGGAAAAGCTGGGCCAGCACTTGCCCTGGGCTGACATGGGGTGAGCCTGTGGTAGGGCCAGCCTCCGGTCAAGGCCCAAGCTGGGTCGGTCCTGGGACACTCGTGCACCACTCGGGGCCTTGCTCCAGCACCTCCTCTGGCCAACGCCTCTCAGCTCGTCTGGGGACTAAGCAGAGAAAAGGATGAAAGCCATGGGGTGCCACGCTGAGGCATAGGGGTACCCACACCCCGCTGCTCCTCCCAGCATGCGTTTCTCGCCGTCTGAGAACAGGCTGCGGCCTGGGGAGGGCCGGACCAGGCCCATCTCCCCCGGCGACTGACAGGCCCCATGTACCGCAGTGCTGCGCCCACAGGGGCAGCCTCCCCCGGGGCTTTGCTGATGGAAGGCGCGGCCGCGGCAGAGGCGCAACCCTCTCCTCTTGCCTCGACCCCGCTTTAACGGTACCTGCGGACAGATCGCAGCCGGACCGTGCCGAGCTGCACGCCCGCCAGGGGGCGCCGCGCCGCCGGGGAGACCCCACTATCTCCGCCCCGTCTCCCTCCTCAGGGCCATCACTCCCACCCCCACCCCCACTCCCACCCCCACCCCCTCCCCCTCACGGCGGGCACCGCGCGCACGCGCACCAGCGCTCACTCCTCCTCCTCCTCCTCCGGACCGGAGCGAGGACGCATGCGCAGAGCCTACAGCCCCGCCCCCTGCGGCGCACGGCAGGCGCTTGATGATTGGATTCCGACCCTTCCGGGTTACGGCGCTGAGGCGGTGTCTTCTCTCTAGTGCGCATGCGTAAGGCGGGGCTGTGTCTCGTGAGCGAATGGCCGCACGCAGGAGGTGGACCACGCGTGTAAGGACGCCCTCCTTTCTTTGTTGCTATTGGCGAGGCTTTGGCCAATGGGGCAGCGCTGGGTGGGGAGGGGGGCGTGCAGCAACCGGGATGCAGCGGCGCGGGGACGCCATCTTGTGGGAGGGGCTGTAACTCCTGAGTGCTGGTGGCGCTGCTCTGTGGGGACGCCGCCGTCTTAGCACGGTGCCGACCAGCTGGCTGGGGAGGGTGAGGGAGGAGGGCCGGGTCAGTGAACGCTAGGCTGAAGGGATGGACTCGGACGTTTATTTGGGCTTGGTGGGGCCTGCGTGGCCTGAGGTGTTGGGGAATGAGCTTCTCAGCGGTGGTTACGGGGCGCGGCAGCTTGCTGTGCTCCCCCAGTGCCTGTGGATCTTCCCACAGCTAGTGTGGAGTCCGGACAGTCACTAGACTCTTGTGAGAAGTTGTCTTACTCAAAGAGTCAAGAGAGGGCTGGAGCACATCTCCTATGAAGAAAGGCTGAGGGACTTTTTACAAGGGTATGTAGGGACAAGAACAGTGGCTTTAAATTGAAACTGAAAGAGGGTAGACCTAGATTAGATATTAGGAAGAAATTTTTCCTTGAGGGTGGTGAGGTTGCCCAGAGAAGCTGTGGCTGCCCCGTCCCTGGAAGTGTTCTAGACCACGTTGGACAGGGCTTTGAGAAACATGCTCTAGTGGAAGGTGTCCCTGCCTGTGGCAGGGGGATTGGAACTACATGATGTTAAAGGTTGCTTCTAACCCTAGCCACTCCATGATAGCAGTCGTAGCCACTACTTGAGCTCAGTGGCACACAGGTGGGGAGCATGGGAGAATAAAGGCCAGTTACTGAAGGGTGTTTGGGTCTTTGATTCCAGTTAAGAATATTTAGAAGGTAAATCTGTTACATAACTTCACTGCTGGCCCACCTGTTTGCCTTTGCTGCTTGCAGCTGTACCCTCTGAAGTGCCACATTATGAGTGCCTTTTTGACTCAAAATGTGAAAAGGTTTACATTACCCTTATTTTTTTGAGCACCATTGCTATACAAGTGTTTGCTCTGTGGCTGTATAAAGTCTATATTGTTTAGGGTGGCAAAAATTAACCAGGTTTTTCAAGGTGGTTTGTCATTGCTTTATGTCACTTCTTTACCACGAGTGCATGGCGTTATCCTGCAGCTCTGAGCAAGCTGCTGGAGCATATTCTACCTCCCACAGTGGGGTCTTGTCAGAGAACATGCACCACTATGCTCCATGGTGGTCATGGAGATACAGGCTCCAGAGAACAGAGCGTGGGAGTGCTGACTCTGTCCTTGGGAGGCCAGCGCAAGGAATCTGCTGAAACGAAATTTATGACTGCTTGAAATCAGACCTTTTCATTCATGCATCTATAAATGTACTTTATGTCAGTGTGACTGGAAATAGAGTTTATTTTAGCAAGTGAATGTAGAGGACATGTAGTGGAGAGGTTAACACTGGTGTAGTCTGTGTTATTCCCTGTAAAGTTGCACTCAGAAGCTTTTATAAGCAACTGGGAATGGTGGAAGAAGCTGGAAGCACATGACTACATGTCTCAGAAAAAAGAAAAATCAGTAATATATTTTGCTTGTTATTTGAAGCAAAATAAGTGGGAAATGGGTCTTAAAATTAAGGACTATGAGGAGACAGTTTTGAAGCATACCTGAGTTTCCTTGGTTTTGTGTTCATCTACTACAGTGAAATAGGCTTTCTGCAACACAGAGCAAATTCTGCCAGTGAGCTCAGTTCTTCCAGACTTGTTAGGTGGCAGAAGCTCACAAGTGATGTTGATCTGGTATTGCAGTAACCTGCCCACAGCATTCTTTCAGCAATGGTTTGAACTTCCTGGGGCTCTGCAGTCTAGACCTGGAGTGACTAACTGCACCAAAGGTGAGGCCAGCCCATTCCACATGATTATGGGTTTGCTAGCACCTTCGTTAGGGTGACACTGAAAGGGCTGACTATCCTGTGAATGGTGCTCTTGATGGAGTTGCTGAATTATGCTTGTGTCTGGTTGTATTGAGAGACTTCAAGTGAACAACTTCATAGGTGGGCAGACCACAAATGGCTCCTTTGAGTGGGAGGAGATGAAGCTGGTCCAAAAGGAGCTGTCTTGTCCACTTCTATTCTCCAGTGATATTTTTATCGTCTTGAATGTGGTGGGGATTTGGGTGTTTCTTCATATGGCCACATAGGCTCGGGTGAGGTGCAGAGACACCAGTTGCACTCCAGAAAACAATAAAGCAGTCTAAACCATAGACTTTGGAAAGCCAAGGGCATTCAGAAAATGTTTCATAATTCTCATTTGGCTTATTGTCCTTTTGTGATGAGATTTGCTCTTTGTTTTATTGTGTCTTATTAAATCATCAGTTGAGTACTTCTCTGTCACATCCTTCCTCTTACCCTTCTTGGTGAGTTAACTTGCTCCCTTATAGATTAAGCGCCCACACCTTATTCTTTCAAAATACAACTTTAACTTAATACTCTCTTTTATGACATTGATTAGTTTAAATACGGTCTATATGTAGTCTCTTGTTTTCATGCATGTGATCAAAATGCATGAAAAGATAACAGGTCAGAGAAAAGGCAATTTTATACGCATCATACATCATTGCTTCTTTACATATGTGTTCAGTGAGGTATCCTTTGGTTTATCTTAGACATGATGTAACACATTGTTATTTATGAAGACAGATTAATATTCCCTATAGGTACCTTGCTTACTAATTGGACCACAGACTATTTACACGCCCTCAGTATCTTTTGTTACTCTGTTCTGCGATTCTATTGCTATTGTAGATGTGGTAGATTTCAATCAGGTTATTTGGATGTTCATTTTTCCCAGACATTAAATCAAAGAAAGGGAAGATTTAGGGTTTCCAAAAAGCCTGTAGAATGATTTTATTCTACCTGTGGTGTAAGCATGTTTGCATTCCTGGCAATTTAAAGTCAAACGTCAGTTTGAGAAGTTGAGCTTCTAAAATCATACTGTTATGGTCCTAAGGGAATCTTAAAACACAGGCAGAGACCAGCAATGAAAAGGAAAGGGAAAATTTGTGTCACTGTTTAAAACAATAGACTTCTTTCATGTGGAGGACCTAGATGTCTGTTAATTACCAGCTGGCTTGAGGGTTTTGGACTCTGGCCTAATACGATGAAACTCGTAACCATCCACTAGCTGGCTTATCCCTCAAGGCCAGCATTTGGAAACTGGTAATGCAATGGATTTAATATTTATAGACTGTTATGTAGCAGAAACGTTTTAATTTTTAGCGATATTTCTGTCTTACTATCTCAGTATTCATTGCCAACGTAAGTTTCAGGCAGTTGCATGAACACATAAAGTAAGGACTGGTTTAAATGTTAGATAATGTCAGACCAAGCAGAGCAGCATGCATAGTCTTTGCTGTGCCACAGTCCCACCACAATACACTGGTCAAGACCTAAAACTGTGTCCTCTAATTTTTGGTAATTTGGATGAATTAACAAGATCTGAAAGCCTGTGATTACAGTTGCACTTGAAAGAGCCTGAGGTCGCTGGACACCAGGCAGTGGATGTATGTGATGAAAGGAACCCAAAATAAATGGATGCCTAAAAACCTTTTTATCTTTATTTTTCCATGTGAACATAACTATATATTTATCTGAAATAAATTTTAACTTAAGCTAGTGGTTGCAATGTATTCTGATCCATTTGATGGGCTCTGTGGGTTTGCATGCAGATGAAGTATGTGCACAAAGTATTTTCATTAAATGAAGATGTAGCAGGCAGAATTTTCTAAGCAATATTCAAGATTTAGTGAATTTGCAGTGTTAGCACTCTTAAGAGATGTTCCGTGGAGTGCTCCACAACTTTTTGATCTGCTTTTTATTTGTTTAAATCAAAGCACGGCTGAAGCTGTCCTTGTGATGCCAGCTGGTGTAAGCTTGATGGCTTAGTGCTGCTCTTGGTAGCAGCTGTACAAAGGCAAGGGAGGCAGTGCCTGGCATAGAATTGGACCTGACCTAACAAAAGCTGTCAAAAGGAGGCCCATGACAAAAGCTTGAAGTCATTACTGTAGATGAAATAGCTGGTTTCAAATAAAACCAAAATCTCTAAGGTTTCAAATATACTGAAAAGAATTGACTACA